GCCAGACGGGCCAGGAGCCCACCAAGATGGCCCAAGATGGCTCCAAGATGGCCCAAGACGGCCCAAGAGGCCCCCAAGAGGCCTCCAAGACGGCCCAAGCGGTCCAAGAGGCCTCCAAGAAGGTCCCCAGGAAAGCCCGAAGAGGCCAGAGTCGTCGATGTTCCTGGGGTGTTTGACGGATTTGGGCCTTTGCGTCCTTTCGGCCCTCCGACGGCCCACGAGCCCAGAAAGATCGCCCGAGAGGCGGACATCCATGTCTGCTGCCTTCTCACCACTTCGCTCCCGACTTGTTTTTGAGGTCTCAAGACGGTTCCCCGATCGCCCCACAGAGCCCCAAGAGGGGCCCCGAGAGGCTCCAGCGGCCCATATAGAGCGCCAAGTTCAACAGCGCCCCAAGAGGGCCCCCAAAAAGGCCCCAAGAGACGAGCTTCCAGGCCCTGAGGGGGCCAGGCGAAGAATGGCCCCGCCCCTCCTTGTTTGGTCGATGTTCTTCTCGATGGCCCCATGAGGGCCCCCAAGGCCCCCAAGAGTGCTTCAAGAGAACCCCAAAGGGCTTTGAATGACCAATGAGGGCCCCAGCATCACTTAAAGAGGCCTCCGATAGGCTTCCAGAGCGAAAGATCCGCAAAGACCGTTGATGGTTGACTCCTGTCATCGCCGCCGCCGTCGTCGTCTCCTCTGCTTAACTGGTGTATCCCTCATCCCCCCTAAGTGATCACACGAGACTGAGACGGAACGTGTCCGCCAAGTCCCACCAGCCCTCTGAGCGCAGATGGTTTGGCGAGATACTCTTCCAACCCTGGGTCTCCACGGGAGGGGCCGCGACGCGTTGGAGCGCCCGATGATTGGCTCCATGTATTTTCGGTCTCTACACCTTGCGAAATGCTTTAGAAATCATGGGTTAAGAAACTCATAGTCTCAGAACTTGAATAAAAACCCAACATTTCTGTTAAAATCTTAAGATCTACATTGAAACGTTAAGAATAATCGAGACTCTGGCCGAACATTTAAGCTTTCTTAAGCAGCGCCTAAGGTGTAGGGGCCCTCGCTGGACCCCAGGACCAATTAGCCTGACGAGGGACCCAACCATATGCAGCTGCGAGTGCAGCGAAGGCGATGAGACGAACCGTGCCAAGGGTGCGCAGAAATGAATGCCTGGGAGGCATGTGAACGCACCCCCTGGGGCCTTCGGTGGAGCTCCCTATGGGGCCACGAACCGTGTGAGGGGGGTGCCGACATGAGCTCCTGGGGGGCATGTGAACGCACCCCCTGGGGCCTTCGGTGGAGCTCCCCATGGGGTCAAAAAACCGTGTGAAGGATGTGCCGACATTGGGTGGCGGGGACGCATGTGGCCACGCCCTCTTGGGGCCTTCGGTGGAACGCCCTATGGGGCCGCGAACCGCGTGAGGGGCGTGCCGAGATGGGCGGCGGGGACGCATGTCAACTGTGCCACTGGGACTTTCGGCGGAGCTCCCTCTGGGGCCACGACCCGTGTGAAAGGTGTGTCGACATGGGTGGCGGGGGCGCAAATCAACTGCGCCACCGGGACCTTCGGTGGAACACCCATGGGGCCACGAACCGTGTGAGGGGCGTGCCGAAATGGGTGGCGGGGGCGCATGCCTTTGAGACCTTCGGTGGAATTCCCTTTATGGGGCCACGAACCGTGTGATGGGTGTGCCGAAATGGGTGGCGGGGACGCTGGTAAACTGTGCCGCTGGGACCTCGGCGAAGCTCCGTGTGGGGCCACGAAACATGTGAGGGGTATGTCGACATGGGCGGCGGGGATTCATTGGAACTGTGCCACTGGGGCCTTCGGTGGAGCTTCCTATGGGGCCACGAACCGCGTGAGGGGTGTACGGTCGGCGGTGACGCATGTAAACTGTACCACTGGGTTCTTCGGTGGAGCTCCTTACGGGGCCA